CTGCGTCGAAGGCGGGTTGCGAAGTTTGTTTGTATGTGTCTTTCCTCAGTGGCTATGTATGCGCGTGAATGTCAGCGCTGCGTTTGTATGTTATGGTCTGGGGCCGAGTATATTTCGATACTAAGAAAGGAAGTCGAAAGTCGGCAACCACAGCCATTCGACGGTCGCGTTCACCCGGACACCCAATCAGATGCATATGATATTATTCCAGTGTATTAAAAAAAAAAAATCGTCTAAACGTGCGATGCTTCCTGGAAGATCGGGAGGATGCCGACAAAAATAAGAAATAGATTTGCAATTAATACACTGGTTGCCTTCGAGGTACTTACTGAGACCTAACTATCAGGCCATTTGTATTGTACTTTAAATTGGTATCCTACCAACGTAAAATAGGCAAAAAATTAGAAAAGCATATTATTTTTAATAACCATAAACTGAACAAATAATTACCAGTAATTTGAGCAACAGCAAGATTTTTTTTTTAATGAAACTTACTGTTCACGCCGCAACTAGCCCTGAGCGTGTAAGCGCACTTGTGACACTTGACATCCAGAAGCGAATAGAATACTGTGCTCTGTCAACATGGAAAGCCACGTGTTTTGTACATCTCACATTGTCATCTAACAATCACCGATAACTTTAGTGTTTGACCAGTCGCTTCCTATTGCAATTCTGGGAGCTGTATGAGTGATTTTGTTATTTGCGTTGTGACATGACAAGTGTTCATCATTTAGTTGACGTCGGAAATTGTTTTATTCCAAACACTGTAAAATTAATGCTTCCTGTTTATTTATTTCAGTTTAATTTAATTCCTGTTCGGACAATGGAATTTTAAAGCGACCACTGGCACCTACTGTGCTTCTATTCTCTCCTTTAACTTATTGCAACAATCACGTTTTAGAGATCGGTCGGCTTGAGAATGAGAGAGAGAGAGAGAGATCGGAGATGAGCAAGGGGAGAGGAGAGAGGAGTGAGCGGGGAGAGAGAGAGTGAGCAGAAACGGGGAGAGAGTGTGTGTGTGTGAAAGAGAGAAGAGAGGTACGGACGATATTTATCAGGTGATGGCCTCGAGCCGGAATAATCACGTGCAGTTTTCTCAATCCCAAATCTTTCCGGTATTCTGAGTCAATGCATATATGCGTCCAGAAAGGGAGGCGCGACGTTGAGGGAGGATTCAGAAGTTCAAAGGCTTTTGGCGACGGGAATCTTTCTGTGAATTATGTCAAATGATTGATACCCATTAAGAATGTTTTTAAACTACATTTTCAGAAAAAAATTGTGCTGATTCTTTGGCTGAAGAGAAGGAAGAACTAAATTTAAATCTGAGGAACAAACAGAAGAAATATTTCACAATTACTGAGGATTGAGACTAAGGTAGTTGGTAATTGGATTTATTGCATTTTATTACGCTAGGAACTTTAGCTTCATCCATATTAATGCAAGCAAACGTAGTAACAGGTAAACTAAAGGACTGGAATGAGGAATAGCATACTTTTACCAGTTAATAGGGTGCAGTGTCAAAGTTAATAATGCAAAAATTAATCAAATGTTAATATAATAACTATATACACCGACATGCATGCATATAATATACTTATATATAATAATATATTATATATATAATATATATATATATATATTATCACAATCACATACCTCCACATAACACCACACATCACGAGGGGTTTCCAGGAATAAGACCGCTGGAATAACGCCGCGCAGCTGACTCCTTCTCCTTAACTTGTTTGAAGTCATTGGCTCCTTTACATGTTTTCAATAATGTTGTGAGTACGTGGTTACAGAAAGCTCGCCATTTGTCATTTTGTGTTACTTGTATTGAAAATGAACAAACATGATAACTTCAAATGAAGATGTTGATTGATAATGCTGCGAATGTGAGCATGAGTGTGATGCGATTTTTGATGCCCGACATTTGAACCTGCTAGAAATTTCCGGAATTGAAAGACTGTATGGTGAACAATGAATGAAAAATGTAAGAAAATTTGAATTGATTGCTTATTTACCGTGGCGAGACCGAGATCAGTCTCTTTTGGCATTCGAAATGGTAAAACAAATTCAACGGTGGCATCTCCTGAAAGATCGGGGAGGGGATGCGACAAAAAGTAGCAAATAGTTTGTCAATAATACACTGGTTGCCTTGAGTACTTACTGAGACCTACTACTCAGACGCCATTGTATTGGTACTTATTGGTATCCACACAACGTAAAATAGCAAAAATTAGAAAACATATTATATTATTAATAACCATAAAACTCAAAATATTACAGTATTTGAGCACAGCAAATTTTTTTTAATGAAAAACTTACTGTTCAGGCACTAGCCCCTGAGGTGTAGCCAGCTTGTGACACTTGACACCCAGAAGCGATAGAACTGCTCTCGTCAACACTGAAAGCCACGTGTTTTGTACATCTCAATTGTCATTAACAATCCACCGATAACTTTAGTGTTTCGACCTCGCTTTATTGAATTCTGGGAGCTGTATGTCGATCTTTGTCTATTGGTTGTGACATGACAAAGTGTTCAATTTTAGTGACGTCGGAAATCTGTTTATTCCAAACACTTAAAATGAGATTCCTGTTTATTTATTTAGTTTATTTAATTTGTTCGAAATGAAATTTTAAAGCACCAACTGCCACCGTGCTTCTATTCTCTCCCTTAACTTATTGCAACAATCACGTTTTAGCAAGTCGGGGGCATTGAGAAAGAGAGAGAGAGAGATGGAGATAGAGAGAGGGGGGAGGGAGAGAGGAGGACAGGGGGAGAGAGAGAGTGAGAGAAAGAGGGAGAGAGTGTGTGTGTGTGAAAGAGAGAGAGAGAGGACGGAACGAATTTCTCAGTGATGGGCCATCGAGCGATCAAATCACGTCCAGTTTCTCTCAAATCTTTCCGGTGATTCTGAGTCAATCATACTGCCCCAGAAAGGGAAGCGCGACGTTGAGGGAGGATTACCAACAACGTT